TAACCATTGCTTCAGTCATTCCATTATTAGTTCTTGATGCTATGAATCTAAAAGGTTACCAATCATAAGTTTACTAACTTGTGTACAGTGGGAGTATCCTAGTGACAAGTGTCAGTATCAAGGTCACAATGGCACTGGTGGTTAGAATGCAAGGCCTCGTCTGTTAAGGTGGGTATAAAACAGAATTCTATTCAAAAATAATTTGCAGAACGTTCGTTCGGTTTTCTAATAGTAAATGGAGTCAAATCAACAATCGTTTTGTGCCGTAGTGATGAACAAAAATTGAAGGCGCAGGATGGAAAATTTTCCTCGAATGGAATACTAACAGTAAATGTGTTTTTTCTTCAGGAAACTCCATTCATTCCAAAAATGAATGTTTACATTTTGAACGACATTCAAGTCTCTGATGGCATTGTTGAATGTTGTCTCTGATGAGATTTGTTTGCACAAACGTTTGTATGAAATTCTGTATGTACCCAGCTTTAGGTTAACCACAGACATGAAATGATCTTTACACTAAGACACAATCAGATTAGAAAACTGTATGGGGGGATTTATCAAAACTAGAGCAGACGAAATTTGGAGCAGTTGCCTATGACAATCAGGTTCTCTCTTCAGTTAAGCTTTCGGCCTCATTCACAAGAGAAAAGGCCGGCACGTACAGCTCCGTGCACGGCCGTATCAGGCAGCTCCCGGGAAGGGCAGGTGCTGCGTGTGATTAGTACGCAGCCCCTGTCCTTCTCTATGGAAGTAAGCGGCCGTACGCCGCCCTACGCTTACCTCAAGTGCAGGTTCTGTACGGGTGCGGGTGTCCCGGCTCGGACGCAGACAGGATCCATCCTGTCAACGTACTAGTACGCTCACCCGCACAGACGTGCAGGGCGGGTAAGCGTACTTCCATAGAGAAGGACAGGGGCTTTTTTTGCACAACTTTATTGAAACCTGACATTTCATTCAGCTCTAGGGGCATGCCTTGTCTTGGGGATGCGCTGGAAATAACGGCCAGCGCAGCTCTAATGCATCTGGTGTGAATAGGCCCTTAGGGTTGGATCTTGCAGCTGGTATCAGATATCTATGTCTTGCCTTACTGTCCATTACTTTTTTGCGTTTAAAAACTGTATTATTACCTCCTTCCTTTGAAACCAATTTTAGTATCAAACAAATACAATATATTTAAAACAAAGACATTGAAATAAAAAATGAACATAAAGTGTCTATGCTTGCTCTGTATATCATCTGATATTCACAAAATGGTGCTACTGATTTTACCCCTGGGCGTACGAATGCATTCTCCACTGTGAGGAACTCAAGAATTGCACCCTAAACAGAACATGTTGTTTCTGGTAGCAGTTCACAATTACAATGCTGAAAAGCACAAAACTGGGTTCCAGCAGGCCACAAAACCTTATGGCTTTCTCCAAATGTCTACAAAGTTTCATTTGTCATATGAAAATATATAGTATGTGTTCTGTGATCACTGAGCTTCTGCAAATGCTAGTCTGTCAAGTGAAGACTAGAACACATCTAAACGTATCACCTGAAATCAGTGCACACTCTTTCATTTAGATGAACGGAGTGTGCGCTGATTTAAGGTGCAGACTTTTAACCCATTGATGAATTGGGAAAAGGTGAGCTTGTACACCACCTATTCTCATGAACTGTTTCTGAACATCAAAATTCACCTGTGCTGAGACTTCCCTGCATAGGCAGGGTATGTTTGCTATATGGCCTCATTCACACGAGAAACGGCCGGCACGTACAGCTCCCTGCTGCGTGCGCGGCCGTATCGGGCAGCTCCCAGGTGCTGCAAGTGATTAGTATGCCCCTGTCCTTCGCTATGGGAGTATGCGGCCATAAGCCCTACGCTCACCAAGTGCAGGTACGTAACGGGTGTGGGTGTCCCGGCTCGGACGCAGACAGGATCCATCCTGTTAGAGTATGAGTACGCCCACCCGCACGGATGTGCAGGGCGGGTGAGCGTAGGACGGCGTACGGCCACATAGTCCCATAGAGCTGTACGTGTTGGCCATTTCTCGTGTGAATGAGGCCTATATCTGAAGATACTAGTGGCCAGGCTCTGCTTTAATAATGATATGGTCACTGACCTTGAACAAATAGGCAGCCAGAAATCACTGGTCCTGGCTCAGTGACACACTAAGTAAGCTGAAGGATCTGTATAACAGCCAGTAAAGCGAGCATTTTCAGAAGGTCAGCATGACAACCTATATATTTACCCAATTGAAATAAATACTTATGCTGGTTTTATAGAGACTTTGCTGTTATTAACAACCAATATTGTAACCTAGGTGTGGTTAAAGTTCACGGAAAGGCTGCATAAACATCACTGTTAGTCCCCATTCACATGGGGCGTTCCAGGATTCCTGCGGAATGGTCCTATGGATTCTTGCAGCAGGAATCCTAGGTGTCTTATTCGGATGCGGGCACTGTACCCAATCAAGTAAATGACAGGGTGACAGCAGCTGCAAGTGGAAATCAATGGATGCAGCAACTTCCGCCTACAGTGTTTGAGATAGTTAACGGTTGCTGGATTCAGGATAGTTGCATATAATCATACCATGTATAATTACATGGGGACTGTAGCAGACAGATGCGGCCACTGTCACCCTGTCGTTCATTTCAATAGGTACAGCGGCTGCATCTGAACCGAAGTCCAAGAACCCATCGCACTCCTGATCGCTTGTCCCATAAGAATTGGATGGAGCTGCGGTAGTCAACGGATGGCAATTGTTATGTTCATAGATAGAAGTAGGGACACCAGCACTCCAAATGCAGATCAAATGCGTCTATTTATTGACGTAAATGCAGCACATCACACTGGTGCAGCATTTCGGGGTCTCGCAGGATTTTGCCTGAGGAAAGGGATCCTGTGAGACCCCAAAATGTTGCACCAGTGTGATATGCTGCATTTACAGATCCTCCAGATTACCCCACGTGAATGGAGCCTCAAGGTTCCCTAAAAGGGTCCACATTTATCAGCTGAAGATGGCCATTCCTGGATCACCTCAGACATCTAGAGCAAGTATAGCCACGCTTCAGCCCTTCAGTTTTTGTGGAACTACAAGTCCCATAAGGGATTGCAAGACTCCGGTAGCCATAGGCATGACTTCCAAAAGCAGAGGCATAATGGGATTTGTATCTTCCACACAGCTGGAGGGCCAAAATGTGGCTATTCCTGATAAAGATATTAGATGTATTAATACGCATAACTTAATTGTTATTGTATGTTGACTGAACTCCATTCAAGTGGACAATCTCAGTATGGGGTAGTACACCTTATTAGCAGCTGTGGAGAAAATACATAGAACTAAGAATAAGCTGAACTGTCAATAGTAGCAGTCATACGTCTGTATACATATAATACGTACAGAGGAACATGAACATCAGACAGAATATGAACAAATCATACCTCATATTATTAAGCTCCAGCTGTCTCGGGTATGTCCATTAGCCCGTGTACAGCCAGGCTCCCTTCATAATGGAATACACAAAAAACTATAATGTACAATCATGGCAATTTTTCTTTAGCCTTACTGAGAAAAAAAATAAAAAATAATAGAAACAAATACTAAAAAGCTTCATTATTAGGAAAATAGCTGTAACGGAAGCATTGTTTTGTTTTTTAAATTCGGAGGTATTGCTCATCAAGTTGTTTCTGAATTTCTTAAAGGATCTCTCCATTCAGGTAAAAGCACATTTAGTTGAAGCCCAACTCCAGCCAAAGTTTTATATTTTGGTTTGGCTTGGGCAGAAAAGGGTCTCCATCAAAATTAGTATTGCTCCTTGCGACTCTACTAGTGAGATTTCACCTCTGTAAAAAAACAGAAAAATCTCTTCAATGAGTAGAAAGACAAGAATACATATTTGGCAGATTCGGGAAGGGTTAAAACTTCTGACAATGTTGCTTTTAGTGCTGCTTGTGCCTTCCTGTCTTGGTGACAACGACTATCCCCATTATCCACAATAATGGTGTCACTGGGACAGGAAATAAGGGACAAATAGCACAGACAGAAATGTTTAACTCTTCCAGCTCTACCAAAATAATTGAACTTAGGCCCTAAAGCCTAATTGAATGCATGCCATTTGTTACTGTAATGCAAGCAGGCTGCATATAGTTATTCATAAGCTGGTCTTTTTCTTGTTATATATGTTTAGTAGTGCAGCAAGGGTTAAAATACCCTTAACTAGCAGCACGCTGGAGAGTCGGACTGCTGCTCTCACACACACACACGGAGCAACAGCGCTGTGTGTGGCACTGTGCAGTGTGTAGGGGGAGCCCATGTTGGACTGCTGGAAACCCGGGGCCCCAGCTTGTGCATGAGAGCGGCAGTGTGACTCTCCAATATGCTGCCAGCACGGGGTGTTTTATCCCTTGCTACAGCAATAAGGAAAATAAATAAAACAGATAAGTCCAGCATATTTATTACTGCATTTGCAGCCTGACTGCATTACAGTTATAGTGACGGTTCAATTGTGTGGTAATACAACACCAACCACATATACGGTAACTCTTGCCCCATGTGGACTCGTGCTCTGGTTCCTGCAGTCGCCGTACAAACCACCATTGCCTGCAGATTTTTTTTTTCTGTTAAAAATCAGAAAAGAAAAAAGCAGCCAGACTTACATTGTGCGTTTTTTTTTAGATTTGTCATGCTGTGAGAGCAAAGTGAAGACCCTGTGAAGTTAACACACAATTCCTGACTGCATGGGTGAGCAGGATCTGAATCAACACGGCTGGAGCAGAAGATCTTGGTAAATAAAACTGCATAGTACATGGCGAAAGATCAATAAAAACAATGTAATATCCTTGAATATATTGTTCCATTGTCCTTGTAAAAGCTCTTCACTATCCACTGCACTCATTGGGAAATGATGAAGCTTGCCATAGGGCAAATTGTAGAGACAATGGGAGGTAGTGTCTATCAGTACTCTGTAGACAGCTGAAGGTAAGGTCAATGTGCAAAAATCAGACATTGCAATGTGAGCAATGGATACCTAAAATATTTTACAGGTGTAATGGACCAAAGTAAGTAATAAATACTATTTACAGACCTTATTATTTCACAGTTCTGCCTTATTACTTCCATTTTGTCCATAGGCGAAGTTACAGTTTAACTATAAGTAAACCATCTCACTTTCTAATTGTAGAAAAAAACCTAAACAAATTGTTCAGTCACCTAGAGTAAGTATCCATCTGTAATAATGTTGACCTAATGAAATATGAACCCAAAAAATATATCTATATCTCCACAAATAGAGAATTGTGGTTACTTCTATATACAAATAATTATATACAGTATTTACATATACACATCTATATAAAAGGTAAAATCTATTGTCCACAGCTTGATCATTGGTGCCCCCATGTGGTCAGAGTGTGGGATCACAATGTACGCTGCCAGCATAGCTCGAGCAGCAACAGCAGCAGCAACTAGAAACCAGCATGGCCTCAGCAGGATTCTTCTTTAGGCTGTCCAACTTCTTTGCTTCAAACACATCCTTCTCATCCCGAAGCTTTTTGTTCATGTCCCTGCAACACAACATGCATTACCAGATAAGGGCCACTGCAAGGGTTACGTTGTTTAACTGCCCAGAGTTCTTCTTAAAATATTAATAGTTAAAAAAAAAAAAGTAAAAAATAAAAATAAAAATCAACAGAAAAATATTACCTAAGGAGAAAAGGGAATGAAGGCATTAGCCAGGGCTAATGAACAACTAATGGTTAATAAGGGGTTAAAAAGGAACAAAATGTAATTGAACTGGTTTACTGGTAGGCTTGCTTTAACTGACACCATATGCATATGAAAGCTCACTCCTTTGATCTGAAAGTGAATGAAACAAGAGCAAATACCATTCAGCAATAATGTTTCTACATGGTATTCCTCATGGAAGTTTCTGAACAATATTCCAAACACTGTTCAGCTTCTTTTTACACAGCAGCATCTGCCGCCGGGATTTTCTGGCATGAGTGGCGGTGGGGAATGAGGAACAGGCAGTAATGATGTGCGTCTAATGTACTTTGTTGACGTTTTCATGATGTGCGCCATATGCCTTAACCACTTGCTGACCAGGTTGTTCACCCCCTTCCCATCCAGGCCATTTTTCAGTATTCAGCGCTGCGGTACTTTGACTGACATTTATTCCATCATGCAACGCTGTACTGAAATGCATTTTTACCATTACTTTGGGGACAGATAGAGCTTTCTTTTGGTGGTATTTAATCACCACTGCGGGGGGGGGGGGGGTTTTTTTTTTATTTTATAAAAAAAAAAGTACCGTAAATTTTGAAAAAAAACCTGTTCCCCGATGAAATGTTATGAAACATTTATTATCACCCTAATTTTTTGGTAAAATATAAAAGATGGGGTCACATCAGGTAAACAGACACCAAACATGTCAAGCCCTAAAATTGCACGCAAAATCGCAAAAAACAGCCACAACCACAATTGGCCATAGGCGATGCTTTTACCGCTCATCAATTTAGTGTGATCAGTGATTAATGGCCTTAGAATTATTACTCTCACTCCGACATACGCGGTGATAGGTAATATGTGCGACACAATCGTCATTTTCGCACGTAGGCTCACCTGACGCATGTTTGCATCTGTATGTGGGGGGCGGGGGAACTTTAAAAAAATGCTTGTGTTTTTTCAAATTTTTCTTTTATGTGACTATTTTTTTCTTAAACTTTTTTTTAACCTAACTTTATTGCCATCACATAAGGGGCTTTGAAGCCCCTATGTGATAGCCAATTTACAGTGTCAGGTCCTCTTTATGGAGACATCAGGGGTCTCCAAGACCCCTAATGTCACCTAGGGACCCCCAGGGAAGCTGATGAAGCAGAGATCTGCTTCACCAGCTTCTCCCCGGCTTCTGTAGACGGGAATGACAGTTAAATGAGGAAGTGATGTAATATACATCTCTTCCTCCATTTAGAGACAGGAGAGGAGATCAGAGGAAGATCGTGTACTGAATTCCCTTTGATCTCCAGTCACAGAGCCGCCGTGCCAGTCCGGGCCTGCACTGGGCACAGCAAATCTCGGGAATGGCGGTGATGCCAGGGGGCCACCTGCATCTAAAGGCTCCTAGACGCATCTGCAAGGCTCCCGCCTGGCCGTTTAGGTACGGCCAATGGACGGAAGGTAGTTACAGAGACAATGTAAGTTTGGTCATGCAGGGCAAAGTAATAGTATCTCTGAAAAGGCTTGACACCTTTAAAATCCCTTTACTAGAGTCTAGAGATGAGCTTTGGCTTGGTGTAAACCCAGGTCGCCCAAGCCCACTCAAAACTGACTGACACACCCCTCTTCTGGCTCAATCATTGTGGCCCCACGGTTATATGTCACAGAGGGATAAATAATTTCCCTGCTAAAACTGCTGCCACTGATTGCGGGGGTGTGCCAGTCACAGATTTGAGGCTTAGGCAAATTGGACTCGCACCAAGCCCAAGCTCATCACTTCTTGAGACAATCATATATTTGACAAAAAAATGTGGTTATGTTGTATTTGTGTGCCCTATAATACTGCAGTGTATTTCTTACTGAAAATATAGGTTTGATAAACCGCAGTTTTGCAAATATTGCGCAGAATATACATTTGCATCTACCATCTTATTGTCCTACAGTTTCTTTGCCTTTAGAAAGTATGTATCGTTTGGGAGTTCTAAGTAATTTTCAGGCATGTGTGTGAAAAAGGGGAAAAATAGTTCGTGGTATAACAGGTATAACAGGGGGCCACATTATACTTTGTTTGCAGGGAATATTGGACTTTTTCATAGGAAACCCAAACAATGCCTGCTCACTGCCTTTCTCTAACTGAAGGCTGTATGAGCTATTAAAAGGGAACAGACTATGTCCATCCTTATTCAGCTGTGTGTGATGACCAGCAGGAAACCAAATTGCAGGCTGTTCACAACATAACAGAAGCATAATAAAAGAACATGGCTATCTCGATTTGTTAACTTGGTAAAAAAATCTATACCTGAGAAGTTCCAACTGTCGCAAGAGGCTCTGCTTCTCTTTTTGCATATTCTGGGAGACTTTACATGCAAACCTATAGTGAAAATCACATAAAGGGTTCACGTTATTTCTCAGTATTGGATATGACATTTAGTTAACAGTAAAACTGTAAAGTCTGGCTAATTACTGACCATTATGGTCATTTTTACATGCATCCTGTGAGCAGTCACTGGCTGTTCCTTTATTATTATACAGGATTTATATAGCGCCAACAGTTTGCATAGCGCTTTACAATATAAGAAGGACATTACAATCACAATACAATGCAAGACAAGGTGGTAAGGAGGGACCAGCCTCCCTGAGGACTTACAATCTAAAAGGGAGGGGCAAGTGATGCATGAGGAGGTAGCTGTGTGGGGATGAATTGTTTGAGAAAGTGATAGTTCAGTGGTCAGGTTGAGGTGGAATAGGCTTCACTGAAGAGATGAGTCTTAAGGGATCGCCTAAAGGCAGTCAGAGTGGGAGATAGACGGACAGGTTGGGCTAAAGAGTTCCATTGAATGGAGAGACTCCAGAGACGTCCTGGAGACGAGCATGGGAGGAGTTGACGAGGGAGCTGGAAAGCAGAAGGTCTTTTGAAGAGCGGAGAGGACGGTTAGGGAGATACTTTGAGACCAGGTTTGAGATATAGCCGGGGGTAGAGTTGTGGATGGCTTTGTAAGTGGTTTTTATATTTTGAATTTTATCCTCAATGATCTAGGACAGCCTTTAAAGTGTCAATTCCCCCAAAACTGATATTTTTGTTTTTTGTAAATTATGGAGAGACCACCTGACAATTCTTATATCTCCCGAGGACTCTACTGGTATAATTTCTGTGCTTGAGTTCCTAGGCCTGAACACCTCCAGCCCATTATGAGGGACCCCACTATATTATGGATAATACAAAAGAACGAGCGGACACATGGGAATTATGGAGGGAGATCTTGATGTTGGAGTATCCAAGTCATATAAGTAGCCAGAGGCTTACTCATCCCACCAAGCTTCACCTATAACTACAATAACACTTTTAAAGGGACTGGCCTTTGACTGCAGCAGAAATGGAGTGTGGAACAACCTAATACAATTTTTATCAGAGTGCCAAAAAATAATTGTATGTTGGAAAAATGTAGTTGTGATTAGAAGCTTTCAGATGTAAAGTGATAAATATCACATATGGAAACATGTTAGATGCAGCTGTATCGTTCAAATGGAAATGTATGCTTATGTACATGTTAACTGAAGGACTCCTGCTGCGTTTGTACTGCATAATGATATAGGTTTGCTTCACCTAATATTTAAAATGTTAGTCCTGTATATCTGTAATAACGTATCCCTGCTAAGAATGTAAACATGAATAGTCTTGTTATTCATAATTAAAGTAGAACTCCAGCTTTTAAAATATATAAATATACTTACATTGGTCCAGCTTGGCACAATGTAAGTATATACAGTATAGCTATATATATTATAACAGAGAATAACTCAGCTGATTACAGAGACCATTCACATTAGGTCTAGTAATTTTACTTATGAATACAAGGCATTCTTTAATTGGAAGAAGGGTGGTAAAGTGCCAAGCAGGACCTATGCAAGTTAAGCTGGAGTACTTCTTAAATCTGAAATATATTATATATATATATCCACTATCTATTCCTTATGAAGATGATCTGAACTCTGGAAGCTGACAGAGGGAAAGCTATGGTCACCAGCATGGTCTCCCTGCAGGTAATCATTTCCTGCTATTGATTTACCATTTATTGTTCTGCACGGTGTCGCTGTGTGAACGCGGCCATCTTGGCAGAGGAAGGACTTTGTTTCCACAGGTCAGAGACTCCAGCATGGAGAACAGTGCGCAGCACAGTAGTGAAGTAATTAAATCTGATTCCAAATCTCCTAAGACTAGCAGTCAGAGGCAGAAGTGCCTGAGATCCCACTGCCGTAGATGAGTGCCTAGGCACCCTGCACTCTAAGCTGCCTGGAAGTGCTCTGCCATTTTTCAGGAGGCAAAAGGGTAGATTTTTCAGGATGTTGCTTATGCACAATTAACATTTCTAAATGTTCCCTATAATAAAGCAAATCTTCAATGTTTGAGTTCAGTCTCACTTTAATGTGCTGTATTTTCTCAACAGAAAGACATATCTACCTCTTCTTGCGTTGCTGCTCCTCTTGCTCTTGTTTGCGCAGATTCATTAGGCTTGCCTGTGCCTTTTCCAAGTCAGTCTTGGTCATCTCAAGTTGCTCCATGAGGTCCTCATTTAGCTGTCTCAAGCGATCATTCTGAACTCGTGTCTCGAGTTGTTCACTGTTTAAAGATTGTAACTGATGCTCCAACTGTTTCAGGAAATATGGGACAGAGGTCAGAACTGGGTTTTAATACAAGTTGCATAACATGAGCAATAAATCACAACCACTGACACCATAAAAAGTGGAGGAAAGTGCAGCAATAGAAAGAAAATAACTTGTGGAATGAGGAGACTTTGTGAAGGAAAACGTTGGAATACACAGATATCTAAAACAGTGTAAAATGCTTCTAAGTGATACGCCAATAGAATAAAATTTGGGGGAAAAAGACAATTTTCAAATATCTGTTTAATTCTCTAATAGCTAATGAGGTGAAATTGATGATAGTTTAAACAGTAGTGGCGTGGGTGGGAAATTGAAGGAGCAGGATGGAAAATTTTTCTTGAACAACATTCTAACAGTGAATGTGGATTTCATGCAGGAAACGCCATTCATTCCAAAATGTAAAAATCAGATGAAGTCTCTGATGGCATTATCAAATGTTCTGATGAGAAATGTTTATATGGACATTCGAACGGAATCACAAGGAAATGTAAAAGCTGCAACAGTAATGAATAGAAGGCACCCTTAGGTGCCCGCACACACTTCAATATGCACTGAGACAATGGGAAGTTCTCTCTGTCATTGGCAAAAGATCTACCTGTGTATGACATCTTAAAATGAGCCTCTTCATTGCCCATACCTGCCTGCCCCTGCAATTGAACTTACTTACCTTTCTTTGCAATCATAACACTCAATTTGCTCAAAAGAGCAAAGAGAAAAGCCCAATATAAGCTTCAAGTCACACCTTAAGCTGGCCATACATGCTTAGAAATCCATCGATTTCCACATCCATACTAAACCGTGTGGATGGAGGAAATCCCCACTTCCGGCTATTGTACTAAATACCCCAACAGTGTGTGCATTTGATTGGAGCAGCAGCTACTGAAAACCTGTGCATCTGATTGGATGCAGGTCTGGCCAAGAATTTTCAAACTGGCTCCTTCAGCCAAATTGAAAATTGGCTTTTGTCATGTGTGGGAGGGCAGGGGGTGCCCACAGGGCCACCTATCGGTCTAATACCAGCCACCTGAGCAGGAAGTGGCTTTAAAGTGAGCAGTGTATGGCAAACGTTAGAGCTTAAAAAGGGCTGAGGATTGTCCCCCACCTCTGACAACACTGGCTTCCAGAGCAGCCAATTGCCAAGCAGTCATGTGGGATAAAGGGAGAAAGCCACATGCTCCCCCATACCCAGAAGTACCAAGTATATCACTTCTTGGGAGAATTAAGTAGTAGGGCAGCATAGTGAAGGGAAATAAAGGCAGCTGCTGGAGCCAGTTAAAAGAAGAACTCCTGGAAAATCATAAACTTACTCTTACAGTGGGACTACCCCGCACCACAAGTGTTAAGTGCATCATTTTGTTAAGGGGGCTCAAAGAAAGCAGTTTTACTCACCTGATCCTTGGTACCCCAGTGGTTGGCACTCACCTCTCTCCCCCTCCACTTCAAATATGGAATGGCTCTCTGCGTCTTCAGGTTTAATGTAGATCAATGGACCTGTATAAGATGTGATGACATCAGCAGTCCTTAGACGGCCGGAGCCCAGGGTAGAAGAGTTTGCAGGGATCAGTCTAGCAGTCCGGAGGATGCCGGCAAGACCGAGGATCAGGTGAGTAAATCCTTTTTGAGCCCCTTAGACAAAGCAAACACTTAACCCTTTGGTGCAGAGGGAAGCCCCTACACTGTGATTTTGCCAGAGTTCTTCTTTTAAGTGAGCAAGTTGCTTTGTCCTGAATGAGCAACAGATACAAGACATATGTGGAGCTCATACAGTTAAAGAGGGTGGCAGCCGCAAACAAAGTTCATGCTGGGATAGAGAGGGGAATTCATGAGATCACAGGACATGCCTGTATGAGTTACAAGGTGTGCTCTTATCAGAGGCATATATCCCATCTGTCTGCTTTGCGTAATTGCTATCTTCTATGATTATGTCATTCACACTTGTTTCAGTATCGTTGTAATGTATAAAGAAACTCGGGATATTTTTATAAAGCAGGGAACGTGACATTCACCAAACATTCTGCACTGAAGGTGAAATCTTTCTGGTGCATGTTTTAAATGACAGTGAATGTTTGGTGAATGTCACATTCACTGCTTTGTAAATATGACATTAGATTGTCTTTTCACTCTTTCCCAGTCGAATTGTGATATAGACAGAGGGGCTTTTTTATTGATCTTTTCCATATTTGGGGCCTATAACAGGCTTGATGTGTCTTTTTATTTTCTTTGTTCAATTTATTATAACCCCCACCTTTTCACAATTAATGATACTCCCCTTTTCCCAATTCGTGGCCCATTGTGTTCTTGTAGCTCTTCCCCTTTTAAAAATGTTCTAGCACCAAGTGTGAAAACAACTAAATGACTGCTGGAATCACCCAGACCTGACTGTAACCACCAGTCAAGCAAAGTGCAGCTGTGCATGTATGACCAACTTTAGGCTGCCCATAGACATTAGACCAGGGACGTGCAGTCAGGGGAGGCAGGTGAGGCAAAGCCTCACCCAGAATTATGGAGGAAAAAGCTGTCAGCTTCATGTCTGAAGCCGACAGCTTTTTCTCCATTGAGATTGGCATCTAACAGGTTACACAGGGAAATCCTCACCACTGTGTAACCGGTCACGGAGCCTCAGCAGTGAGGAGCAAGGGAGGGACAAGGAGGCTTCTCCCTGTCTCCTCCCTTCCTCCTTTACACTAGCTCGGGGACGGGGCATCGTCCAGCAGGGACGGAGCTTTGGCCGACAGGGGGGCGGCGCTTCGGTTGGCGGGGGGCGGAGCTGGGGAATGCCTCCCCCCGGGCGAGAGGTACAGCACGTCACTGCATTAGACAGGAGTCTGATCATACATATATGACCCATTTGCCAAACATCTGCACCTATACAGACACAAGCTTATCACACAAGTGCGTATGTTCATGCACTGAGCAGAGGGAACAACCTCCCTCAAGACCAATTAGCTGGGTTTGGCAGTTTATGATCAGATGTGTCTATTGACACAGCTAAATTCAAGAATATTCCAAGAACAATCTCCTATTTTCTCACATTCTTCTAAAACAAATTGCATACACAGATATTTTTCTGTATATAATTATTGGTTGTGCATGCCCATCATGCTTTTATATTATTGGGAGATAATGGGAGGTATGTTAAACCTGCTTATACTGACAGCTATTGCCTACTTAGGACAAGCAGTGGCCCCACATTGGTCATCGGACTTGAATTATTTCCCATTCATGTTACTGGTAACGCCAAGAGGAACCTATAAACAAACGTACATTTTTGTACATATGAAATTGCATGGCAGTAACTTTATGGTTTCAGATTAGCACTTAACACGGGTCTTCCTTTGCATTTATGACTGGCAAAATATGTGGTCAGGCTGTAGCTAATAATAATCCCAAGCATACCCCAATCTTTACAAATTAGAGCTGATGTCAAGTTGGACAGCTATTGATACACACAGCATACAAGTCAGTGTAAGCTATAAACACGGGCACTGGAAACAGCGGATTTGTTTGCAAGGTTACTATAGAAGCAAAATCCTCTGTGTGAGCTTAGCAAATGAAATATCAATTTCAATACATGTAGCGTTACGCAAAGTAAACACACATATACACAGCATATGAATTCTTTATGTATGTCAACAATCTGATTTGAAAGGAACTTCCAGTGCTACTATCCAATATTACCAGGCACAGCACATTATACACTTTTCTTATATTCACAGTAGGAGCGAAGGTGGAAGTGAAACCTGAAAAACAGCCAGCAGATGGTGATACAGATTTCTGGTGGTCTGCACACAGTTTACAGACTATGCTAAGAGGGATCTAATGGACTGGACATTATATAGTGCATATTGTATTTCTTCTGTTCAAGAAGAGTAAGTACCAACTGACAACTGTAATTCATATGCTTTTTTAAAAATGTTTTCCTGATGTTTAAAAACCTTACCATCAATAAAATGGTTCATGCCATAGTTTAACAAGAAAGTGTGTGCACACATTATACAAAGTGTCCGGTAGTCCAGATCCCACAGAATGCCCCCTTCCCACATGTCCCACAGAATGCCCCCCTCCATATACTAGCGTCCTCCCATGACCCAAAGCTCAGTATATCGCGGGCAGCCCGCGATATACTGTGAGCGCCCAGCCAGGACGGATCCCGACATTACTGTTGAGATCCATCCAGCTGCGTGAGTGACAGCTGGCTCTGCCTATCTAGAGGCAGAGCCAGCTCCCCTGTTCGTTCCTCCACTCAGCACTGGAAGATCGGAGAAGGGAGCGGGGGAATCCCTATGGGGAGACGATCGGGAAGTGAGCAGATCGGTGTATGTTTCGGCTCACTTCCCGATCGATAAAGTGGAAGTGGAAATCACTCACCTCATAGATCTCCTTTAATGCTGGAAAACTGGAAAACTTGTTCTAGTTTTTGCATCACGTCTCCTCCACCTAAACATAGGCTAACATGAATGATGTATGGTGCGACTCTTCATCTTTAAGAAAAAACCAAAAATGTAGATGCTTCAGGACAGTCAGACTGTGCCTGAACTTCTGACTTCACTCTGGTGTATATGGCCTATGGCTATGGAAACTTGTACTAAGAAAATATAGAGGCTGTCATTGCTAAATGCCAGAATGCTGATTAGGATCAGGAATGTTGACCATGCAGATCAGAAAGTCTGACTTTTCCTCTGATTTCACTAGTTGCTTGCTTGTTAGGGGTCAATCACTGTGAAAGTATTAAGATTGGGAAAGTATACTGTGAAAGTATAGAGCTTGGAGCTGTGCCTACTTTATAATACACACAGGGACCATCGGGAACAAAAGCAGCCACCCTCCAGAAGGAAGGACAGTGTCAGCCTAAATTCAGAGATGATTTGAGGATCTACAGCTGAATTATACAAAATAAGATAAATTTTTTGTTAACCCGAGTGCATTTTTAAGATTTAACGCCTGAGTTTAGTGGCACTTTAAGGAATGAGAGAGACTACTGCAATATGGAAATGGAGAGATGGAGACAGTGCTCCGTACCTTTCGCTGTCGTAGAACAATGCCTTCAAGCTCTTGTTCCTTCCTCATTAGTTCCCTCTGCAGAGTTGTTTGTCTGTCCTGTTGTCTGGTGGAATCCTGCACGCAAGGACAATGGTATCAGTCAGATATCATGAGGACATAAATTACAGAAGCAAAAACCCTCTCTAATACTGGCCACATACCAGTAAGATTTTCCTTGAAACATCCACATTTACTAAGACATATTAACCTACCTGACTTAGATCCTCCATAGATATAAATACATTTAACAGATCAAATCTAAGAATCTGGTGTGTGACCAGCCTAATCCTCCTATATTGTTCACATCTCTGGGATGTGCTGGCCTCTTGTTAAATACCCAATAGTGGTGTTGAGGGAAAATATTCACTTAGGGAAGGAGAGGTTCAGCAGAAATCCAGAAGGTAACTGCTGCAGGAGAAGCGTCTACAAGTCTTTGAGAAAAATAGAGTGCATTTCATGTAATAAGCAAAGAAGTAGGCTGAGTTAGGACATGTGTGCCTGATAAGCTGGGTGTGGTGAAGATCTAAACACAATGTGGGTCTGTTGGGAATGGCTTTATATAGAATAGGTGTGTAGCCTTAGAGGTGGGCTTATTTTTCCACATGAAGAACAGCAAGATTGCTCAAGTTCAAGCTTACACCTTACAGCCAGCTCTTATGTTTCTTTTAAAGCTGAACTCCAGGAAAACACCTAAACACAGTTAAAATACAGTACGTACATATAAATCAACTTTTTTATTTGCCAAGGATTTGTTATTGTTTTGAACCAGTCTTGCGATCCAGACAACTCTGCCAGACATAGCCAGGTGCAAGACCTCACTTTTCTCTGCTGCAGATACAGCTTTGTCACCAACCTACCCCTAGCATGTGACAGCGAAGGAGCAGAACACTTATGAAGTCATCACTATTCTATCTCATCTTTTATGTTCAAACTGTTGATTGACAGCACTCTGCAGAAAATAGAGCCTTAATTGGGTAGAGGGTTGCCTCTCCCTTTCTAAAGGCTGTATAGAGGCTGCTGCGCAACAGACTACAAGAGACTATTATCAGATTTAACTATATATACACTGTTTGGGTATTCTGACAGAATACAATAGCCTGGCAGGGGAGATTCCCCCATCGTTCACACGCTGAAAGAAAAAAAAAAAAATAGGCTCAGCGTATGGCCAGCTTAAGCACTGAGGTCCTCATATGGCTTATCCTGTATTTCTTGGAGTGGCTTCCATTGTAGTTGTATGCCCCTATACAGCAATTCTGCCTGTGCAGACCATATGCCTACCAATGTTTATGTCTGTATCATACCTTCCTGAGTAGTCGTTCTCTCTCCGTTTTGATCTGCTGCTCCATCTCTTCATAAAGACCCCTCACCTCTCGTCCGTGGTCTGTTTCTTTCCTGTATTCAGTTCCAAAAGATGAAAAAAGTGAAAACCATGAATTCTGAACAAAAAGTTGTTGAGCAGAAAAAAAATTGTTCCACAACAGTAATGTGCACAGCAAGCCATCAACAAAAAATATTTTTCCACTGATCAAATCTGTCCGTTAAGGGAAACTGCACAATTAATCTTTTATCTTTAGTAGGACCTGTGTCAATGGGCTCTTGTTTGTGTCAAATGGGTTTTGTGTTCCAATTCCATGGAAAAGCAGGTCAAATGTAGGTCAGAAAGAAGCCAACTGCCAATAAAAATGTACTTGTTAATGAATCCTAAACATTTTCAGAAATGTCAGAGATGCCACTGATGAGATTTGGATTTACAGGTACTGGCATGTGACAGCTAAAGGACACGGGCAGGGCTATGCCCTGGGGGGGGTGTTAGTTTTGGACCCATAGTGGGTGAACAGAGACACACTGTGGATCCCACTGACCCTCAGTGCTGTCATAGAATAGACACTGGCAACAAATATTTCTAGGTGCCAGATTTCATAGTTCAGCTTCCAGGTTCAGAAACCAGGACAAAATGTTAAATTATATGCAGATAAGCCATTAGAAAACATTGAAACCTTTTGTTTTAACTTGACTTCTTAAATTCAGCAATAGAATTCTGACTGTCCAGAGCGTATTTGACAATTCAGCTCCTAAAACTTAGCTAATAAGTAATAAGCATAATACTAAAAAACATTTTAAATAACTTTACATTTGCTTCTAAAACTATTCATGAACATCTAAGATTCCACCATTTTATATTCTCCAAATCATAGCTTAGCCAAAATAAAGAAAAAATGACCAATCCATGACCCTAGTCATAAGAATAACATCCAATAAAACAAGACTTGTAGTTTTGGCACCACGCCCCATAAACCACAGAGGGCAGGACAAATTAAGTAGATACTTTTAGATAAAGCGGCATACCTTTTTAAAGCTTGTTCCAAAGTCTCCTTTTCATGATGCACGTCCCGGATATGAGAGGATACACGGAAGAGAAACTCCTCAAAGTTTGCTAGCAGCTCCGGGCGCTCTTTGCGTAAACGATTCCACAGTTCTCGGAGCTCCCTGTGTCTTGGAGTAATAAAAGCATGTTTTGTTTTTCAGATAAGGTGGGTTCTGTGTTTATTGTGAGGAAATGATATAATAGGGGTGCTACCAGCCTAAGGACAATCAGGAGGAAAGCAGAGTTGACGTAGCCAAAAAAAACTTGGCACATAAAGTATGTTAAATAAACCTGAAGAAGAGAGGTTCACTCTCGAAAGCGTGCCTTTTATATATTTTGTTAGTCCGATAAGAAAGGTATCATTGCACACTGCAATACTGTGTTGTTGTTTTGTTTTTTTACATCTTGTCTACTGGACTAATACGGCTTACCCATTTATATATGCTATTAATGAATGAGGAAGTGTTGTTAAGAAAGTAAACAAGTTATAAAGGCAACTGCCTGTCTGCAAATTCTGTTATTCATGTCCGGTCACACACAGATTCCAACAGCAATTTTCCATATAGCTATTTTTCTATATGTACTGTAGGGCATGTGTACCTGATAATCATACATGTCTAAAGTCTGTGTGCTATCAAGACATCTCCTCCACCCTTCATACTTGATATGCGACACTGCTGGAGCTTTGATCTATGGACTCCAGCTATCCTCTAAATGAAGAGAGTAGATCCCTGGCTTCTCTCTCTGGTGTGAAGACAAAGCAGGCACTCCCTCTGGTGTGTACCTTCATGCTCACAGACCATGGTTTAACAACAACCTTCCTGCTATTTTATTATTATGAAATCATACATGTGAAATGGATGCTTCAATAATGTGCAGAGGTCTGCAGATCCACCAACACGACCCCAAAGCAGACAGTAGCTGGTCATGGGAGCTGAAATATCTGCCTGATCATTGTTCAACAGCTGCCTGTCATAAATCCATAGCTGTGACATTGGTAACTGCTGCTTTTCTCTTTCCAGCTCAGCCAACAGGTAAATGTATTGTAAGCATGGCAACATTCTTCCTTCTGTTTCAGTATAAAAAAAAAGGATCAGTCTGTGATTTTCCAAAAAGCTGTAAGATTTTTGTATACTGATGAGCACATTAGAAAGGATGGAAGCACACAATATCATTTCAAACACGACATAGGATTCCCAGGGCATGGGGAAAGCTAAAAAGAGAGCACAGTAAAAGTTGTTCCCTAATAGGAATCATCAGACAGAGTTGTCCAGTAAGAGAGCAGTCACTGTTTTTACTGTGGCTGTAAATGATGGCCTAAGCTACAGGGTTTTTACATTACGTGGTAAGGAAAAGCAGGCAAACGCATGAAAAGGAGCTAATAGCTTCACCTGCCTGTGAAAGTATGACATGTTCATATGCACAATTTATTATTATTTAGCAGCCTGAAAACAATCACCTTTTTTAAAAACTATTTTTATTCTGAGCAAGAAAATATGTACAACACCCACTATACTTTAGTGATGAAACAAATGCTTTAACTATCAGATACAAATGTAGAATAGATTCAGAGACTCACTCTTGAAATATTCGAGCAGCTCCCAACTGTTCCATTGTAGCATAGAAGAGTATTTCTTCTGTATCATCCTGATCTTCATCTGACCAGCCGGATTCAAACGTCTCCTCCATTACTGGTCTCTCTTCCTCGTCTCCATTAGTCACACTAACCCCAAGTAATTTACCTACACATAACAGGCAATAGAAAAATGAATTTGCATTGGCAACAAGACTCCGATTCCGTTTCTATCTAGGTCTACACAGTATTGTGAGGAAGACGACTCTGATATTCCATGGTAAAAACATTCCTATTTTGCAGCTGGAGATAGTCAATGATAGCAGCAAACTACAGGAAATGTGGTGTTTACAGCGCAGAGTCAGTGATCGCACAGCCCAAAGGAAATCCCCAGCAACATATTGCTTTAGACTTTTTAGAAAGCAAAACAGAAGGAAGTGTTTTTCTAGAGTTTGGATAGATATTATGGAAAGCAGGGACCATGAAGTGTTTAAAGAAGAACTATGGGGTTAAGGCTTTTCCCCATAGTTCTCCTTAGGGTAATGGGAGGACACAAACTAGCGTCCTCCCGTCACCCTAGGCTCAGTATACCGCCAGCTGTAGCTCGCGGTATACTGAGATGCCGCAGCTGAAGCGGATCACGACAATTATGCCGGGATCCGCCCAGATGCGTGACTGACAGCTGGCTCTGCCTATCTAGAGGCAGAGACCCGTGACAGGATCGAGAGGTGAGCGAACGCCGGTATGTGTTCGCTCACCTCCCGATCTACTGAGCCGACCTGTGACAGTCTCATTGTCACAGGTCGGCTAGAACTGTGAGGTGAGTGAAAAGCACTCACCTCATAGTTCTCTTTTAATCTGGTGGACTCTGAAATCTGAAACTCGTAAAAACAGTAATTGTTCATGATTTCTGAGAAAAGAGCTGTTTAAACTGTAATAATTATTTAACAATCCCTGAACCGGGGTATGACCGTACTGTGGTCATACCACGGTTTTAAAAAAATGGAGCATTTAAAGGGCAGAGCGATGTACTATACAAATGTGCATAGCGCTTTGCTTGCTTCACATCTCTGGAGCAAGAAAAGCCCCCATTTGTTTCAATGAATGGTAATAAAATAAAGTGTTGGGAGAAGCAAAGCCTGTTCACATCACCTCTCAAGGCCATGTGACCTGGCTCTCCTCTAACCACAGAAAACATTTCATACAAAGTAAAGGGACTTTCAGATTGATGGATGACATTACCAAGACCCATGCTGAACTCCACAGGAGTAAGGTAACCATTATTACTCTGGTCCAGGCTGTCAAATACAGCTTCCAATTGTTCTGAGGTGAGCGGAAGTTCATTTTGCAGCCGCTGTGAAAAAACGAACGGTGTAAGTAAAGGCTTGTGGGGACACTACAGGACTCCTAGAAAAACTATTTATAAGAATGTAAGCATAAAGATATTTTAGATATAGATATTTGATTGCTGTCATGATATCATAACTTGAAGTTCACAAGGATGTTTAAACTTAAACAAATTAAACTAAGAGCAAATTTAAAATTTGCGGGATCACTTTTCACCTATGGCAAAATGGTGGATATTGTCCAAGGCAGCTTTATAAAACATACTTAAGAGAACAATATTTTATATGAAATACATTAGGGCAGCCTTTCCCAACCAGGGTGCCTCAAAAATTTGCACAGGGTCATGCTCCTCAATGGTGCAGGCTTCTGACGTGAAGGGGGGTTCTTATGTGAAGGGGGGCTTGTGATGTGAAGGTGGGACTCTGATGTGAAAGGAAGGGGCTCTGATTTGAAGGGGGGCGCTGATGTAAAAGGAGAGGGCATGTCATGCAAAAGGGGCTCCTGATGTAAAGGGGGGCTCTAATGTGAAAGGGGGGGATTCTGATGTGAAGATGGGAATCCCATTTTGTTTTTCTATTGCATGGGGTCCCCCTTAAAATCCATACCAGATTCCTATCACAGATAAGAGTTTGGTATGGATTTTGGAGGGGCCACACAATTTTATAAATTTACATTTTGGAGTGGGGTGCCTTAAGGTTTTGCATACCTTTAAAGGGTGTCATGACTGAAAGGAGGTTGGGAAACACTGAACTAGGAAATATTACATTCTAGTAAATGAGAGACTAACTTAAGATAACTCAATGATGAGCAAACTTTACAGACATAGGTTAATAATCCAAATTCTCCACTGTGCCTCATCAAACTGTTGATAAAGGAAATATAATTGTCTACAAACAATAAAATGTTGTCTTGCAGGATTTTGTTTGCAGGCCTTACTCTTCAAAGTTCACGAATACAGAAATAAATGGAACACATCCTATTTGGGGTTAGGCCAATGTTAAGTGGCTGAATTACCTGTAGATCTCGTTTGGTTATTAACCCTTTCTCTTCTTTATCGCAGAGCTGGAAGAGTTCCTCGGCTTTTCCCATCATTTCTTCAGGCTCTCTGACCAAGGGGGATGCGGAGGATATCCCTGGTGCTTTATACCCTTTCCTTCCCCTAAGACAGGGGGAGCACCTTGGTGGGGTGCCCCGATGCTCCATGTCTGCAGGGTTGGGGGGGGGAAGGGGGTTTGCGGACTTCTGCAAAAAATATAAATACGTATTTCAGTTGTCAATGTCTTACAAAAATGAATAAAGCTTTGCTGCTTCTCCATTAACTATACACTGATAAAATGTAGATAGAAATAATATTTTTCACAACACGTATGCATTCTGTTTAATGTAATATTCAGATTTCTCTGTCTAGATTAGCGTCTGAATGTGAAACACACATAAAATCCAGGAAGAGCCCCCCAAAGCGGAATTAAATGTTCACTTATTTGCAGCACAATTCTAGATTTGCACATAATGTCAGCTTCCTATATCACTGGATCTTCTGATCATTTTGACATGTAATTTTCACTGAAGGTAACTTATCCTTCTTATCCACATTTCCATTCTATACTCAGTCTGTATTGTCCAGGCTTGAGACAGATGTACTTTCACCATGTTACATGCTCTCTACAGAGTGCTCTGTAGATCCAATTGCCAACCCATACCTTCATCGGTTGGCCCAACCCATGCATTCAAATAAGAGCACTTTTACACAAACGTGACCTGTGCATACTTACCTGCATCTCACAGCCACGTCCTGTGCAAATTTTGTGCATTCCATGGCAAAAAGATTTTGCCTATGAACACTGGACTTGGGGCCACCTCCCCTCAGGAGTGTGAAAATGTCCTTATCATTTAAAGTCTGCTTTTATTGGATAACTCTGTAGCTTTGAACTCTACAAAATAATCAAGGGACTCAGTTTCTTTAGATTACCTGCTACTGCCAATGCTTCACAATCCTCTTTATCCTCCTATAAATGAATACTCAACAACTCTTTTCTGCCGGACCATGCATACATATTATGTGTGTAACTTCCTAGTGTGTGTAGACTTCCAGGTTAGATTTAATTCTGGGGGAATATTTAAGAGAACATTTCACTATATTATCTTTAGAATAAACACAAATCACACCGGATTTATATATTAACTGAAGACAGAGACCCAACCCATACCCTCACAATTAAAAGAACAATGTTACCATAATCCCTGTTCTACTAAACTTATATAATTTCTAAAAAGTCCCATATTAACTCCATGTCAGCCAATACCTATCAAATCGGGGAAATTAAAAGTGAGATAGCTATTTTCTCAAAAAACATTGGTTGCACATCTGGCTATCCATTTCCTAGTGTTTAACACTATAGAAGCTGAAGCGGAATATAGGATATTGATGAGTTAGTATTTCCTCTCCCCTCACATCTAAAATTAAACCACACCAATGATGAGAGAGAAGAGGCTGCAATACAATTTGAATGCTGTCTAGGTTCTGGACTCTGGTCTCTTGATTCCATATTGAGTATTATATATTACACCAAGTACCGATTCCCAAAGACAATTGATATGCTTCACATAGGATCATAGCACTCAATATTCAGTACAAACATACCCACTTTACTTTTTGATCTGCCAAACAACTCATTACTATGTTGTCTTCAAAGGAAATTCTAGCCGTGTATAACCAGATTTACTATAACACAGATAAGATGAGATTGGACATGATAGCCCCACAAGGCATGCTGAGGCTGGGGACAGAAAAGGTGATAGACAAATTGCCTGCTCTGCACCAGTAGACCTGGAAGTGATGGCTGACACGTAAAAAGGTCTAAAGGTGCATACACCTTGCGATTATCGTTCAATTTCCAAACGAGATCGTGTTTTCGTACGATAATCAGCCAGTTGATGGGAAGTGAACGATCAGAATTACTGTACCCTGGCCAAAATTTCCTTGACCAGTCAGGCTGGAAAGCTTTTTTCGAATCGTGCGAAAAATCAATAGATTAGTGGCGCAAAAAGAAAAACAATATTGCATCATGAGCAAACATAAATTTATTTTGTCGATCGACGAAATTCGGTCAGTTAATATTGATAACAAGCAATAATCGAAATCCACATTGGTCTGTGCATGATGGGGCATTCGAGCGGAACACGGATGACGGTTCGATGAAGGCATGAAAGAAAACTAACGATAATTGTAAGGTGTGTGGCCAGCTTAAGACACATGTGATGGTAGTCATTTCCATTAATTTAGTGATGGCTAAAAGATCTCTTAGGATTAACTAACTTTTGTTCAACTCACATGAAACCTCTCAACTTCAACCTGAAATATTTTCATTTGAATATTTGCTACTGACACCAAGATCTGTCCCCAAAAACTGTTCTTGTAGGTGTAGGAGCCCAGTACGTCAGCCCACCAGCAAAGATACATATACTGTACAGGCAGGGAAGCAGTCTGGAGCCTTGTGTATATACACAGGAATGTGTTATCTACACTCATCAACATTACTGTTGGGGATTGTGTGCTGCCTCTGGCATCCCTGCCATCCTTCGCCGTCGTCTATGTTGGCTATGCAGAAATCTGGCCTAGGATTTAAAAAAAGATGACCGGGTCATATGATTCTGTGCTGAGGTACCTGTAATATGTTTTCCGACTCTCTTACCACATCCACCTGTACAGTGGAAAAATATTCTATTATCCTTAAGCAACAAATCACAAAACCATCATTTGTTTAAACAGTGACAGGACTTCGGCTAAAACAACATTGACCGTCACTTTCTATACATTACCGTGGAACAAAAAATAGAAAGCATTGTTCACATGCCGTGTGATCAACATACAGAGTGATGTGGAGACAAGCCCGCTGACACGTGAAAATTCCATGAATTTAAATGAAACAATAGAATGACTATATTTTAGCCACATCATGCCAATTAGTTCCATGCGTTTAAAGCAAAAGTAAGCCGCTTTGATTTTTTGGGGTTTTGACCTAATTTGCAAGTACACACAGCTTATTTCCCCATTAGGAAACACTTACCTTAAAAGGTGCCCTTCTCCAGTACTGTTGGATCAAAAACTTCAGTCCTCAGCACTCTCCGCTGCCACCGCCATCTCCGCTGCTGACATGTCTGGGTTCTCACAAATCCTCTCCGGCCATTGGGTAGCCATTGATGATGTAACTCTTGCACATGCACACAGGTTACATCCTCCATGACACCTCGCCTATTCATGGCATCCTAGAAATGTGTACACTGCACGGCACAAGCGTCATACAGTGTACGCAAAAAATAAAAAGTCTCTGGGGGGCAGAGGAAGAATGTTTTTTTGACCGAAGAGACTAAGGCCTTGTTCACACCAAGAGCAGAGCAGGTGCAGAGCAGATCAGTTGCAGACCGGATCAAAACTGCGTCCAATGTATTCCAATGGTATTTTTTGCTCCAGTTCACATCGCAGCGTGCAGTTCCAGAGCAGGTCCAGAGCAGGTGAAAAAACTGCAGCAGGCCCTATTTTACCTGCTCTGGGTCTGCAAACGCATCAAAAACGCATGCAAATGCCTGGAACGCACTGAAAGCCCATTTTAAACTTTAAAAAAATATATATATATATTTTAGCAAAAAACGTGTCAAAAACGCATCTAAAAGACTAGCGTGCGTGTGCAGAAACCTGACCGGATCTGCTCTACATTTGGTGTGAACAAGGCCTTAGCATATCTCTTCTGCCAAAAATCCCGACCTCCCAGTGATTTTTATTTTTCACACTTCACTTCCTCTTTAAAGGACAGCTGCACCTTTGCCTTAAAGGGCACCTATCCTCCCAGCAGCCTCATCATGCGAAAGAGATCACCCCGGCCTATTCTCCCTGGACCCAGCTGTCATTCTTCTGATGTAAACTAGAAAGTGAAAGAAAGATCTAACAGTAATATAATTAAATAGTAGTTTTTATAGACAAAACTTGTCATGTTGGGTTTTCTGCTTGCTAGGGCGATTCAACCTCTCTATTATCCCTGATGATCACTGTCACTGGAAAAGCAAGTCATGGATAATCCAATTGTTGTACACTTGTTACTAGAACAAGAAGGGAGACAAAATGGGGACACTTGTCATAGTGACTGTGTACGGGGGGATTTTCCCTCACTTTGGAGAGATTTCCACTCGCTTCCTCTGTGACAGGAACTGTAAGACAGTCTCCCCAATGGACAGTGTATATATAAGCCAGGCAGGGTTACTAAGTAAGTAACTAAGGGGGGTAGCTAAGTTAGTTTTTTTTGTGTGTGTGTATATGTATATATATATATATCTATATATAGAGATATAGAGATATAGAGAGATATATATATATATATATAGTTGGGCAAAAAAGTATTTAGTCAGCCACCAATTGTGATTAAATACTTTTTTTCCCCACTGTACATATGCACACAAACATATGCACACATACATACATATATAAATATATTATTTTTTTTGCCAAGCTATTCACATGAGGCAATTCTGTTTTTTTCTCCTGTGCTGTTTAATTAAAAAAATGAAGATGAAGGCAATGCAGTGAACAGCTATAAAAGTCACAAACGTCTAAGGCCCCATTCACACAGGAACTTATACTGCGCTCTGAGATTCCTGCGGCAAGAACATATGGATTCTTGTGGCAGGAATCTGAGGTGTGTCTTTACAGATCCGGCCGCTGTGGCCATTCAGGTTAATGACAGGGTGACAGCAGCCGCATCTTTCAGCGGTAGCCCGCGGGTAATCATACATGGTACAATTACATTCCAAAGTTCAGGGACCCACAAATATGCATTGTGGTAACTGCATTGGGTTAACACGTGTAATCATGATATTCATTCTATTAATTCCTTTATTTCCCTTGCCTTTTTTCATATGTTGCCCCACATTTTCATGCATGGGGTGCTTACAATGTTTATTGATATGGTTCAAACCTTTTATTCAAAAGAAAACAACTGCTGCTATAACTGCTTCAAACAAATTGTTAGATAAAGCTGGGTTCTGATTTGTCTGTCGCTTACTTAAAAGGCGAGGTTCACCTTTTAGAAAAACAAAAGAAAAAATAATTCCACACTTCCTCATTAAGGGGGAAAAAATTGCATTTAAAGGAGAACTATGAGGTGAGTGCTTTTCACTCACCTCATAGGTTCTAGCCGACCTGTGACAATGAGACTGTCACAGGTCGGCTCAGTAGATCGGGAGGTGAGC